GAGAGAGAGAGAGAGAGAGAGAGAGAGAGAGAGAGAGAGAGAGAGAGAGAGAGGTCATATGAAAGAAGCTCAAGCTACGACAATCGATAAGGGTACAAGACCAAAAATTATCGAGAATGAGAGGAAGGCCGGGGATCAAACTGAGATAGGGCAATTTTTTTACAGGCCGTCATTTGACATTGCCAGACTTAAAAAGGTGGGCAGACTACTCTCTCCTCTGAACTGACAATCAAAGGGGGGATGTGCAGAGGAGAGAGTAGTGTGTATTCTTCTCTTGACTCCCCCCCCCCCTCCTCCTTCTCTCCTCTTATTCTCGAGTTTCTCAAGTGTTTGGACACTTCGCCTTTGCACCAAGAAAATGGGAACAGACAAGAAAATGTAATTCTCATTAGGGAGGACTCGGAGACGAAGGGGCTTGCCGCACCACTCGCCGAATGCCAACGTTTTGAATGTAACTGGATGCGTTTCTGGTCCAAATGCATTCAAAATGTTGGTTTTTGGCGAGTGGGCCGGGGAGCCCGCAAGACTAATTACTACCACTAATACTTACTTAGTCAGTCTCTATCCCCCTCTGCCTGTTTGTTCTCTTCCTCCAGGTGTCTTTGCCCGTGAGACGTTTCTCCGCCTTCTCTTCCCCTCCTCTCCTCTCCCCCCCGCCCCCACTCCCTCCTTTTTTTTTCTCCTTCTGTCTTCCTTTTCTCCTTCCCTTTTTTCCCTTTTCTAAGTTTCTTAAGAAAAAAAAAAAGGGTGACGTCCTTGAGGTATCAGCATTGAACTGACCGGCCCGGGGTAACTCAGAATGACTTCATTCTGTCCATCTGGTAAGCATCTGGATTCGAACTTGAGTCTGTGTTTCTTTTACTTTTTTTTCTCATTTTTTTTCTTTCTTTCAATAAAAGGTGTACACGTTCAAGGTAGTACAGTGGGCATTTCAGCTCAAGAGAGCGCAGGTTCCAACCTGCCTCATCTCAGAGTTAACGGTTAAAGAGCATCCCGTGTATTTCAACACTTCATGGGTGTACCAACTGACCTAAACCCTAAACCCTAAACCCTAAGCCCTACCCTAAGCCCCTAAACCCTAAACCCTAAGCCCGTCAGTACTTTCTCGGCCTTTTGGCTAAAAATAGATCAAGTGCACTGTATCTGTTCTGATCAGCTTGGTATTGATAAGGGAGGGAAAAATAGAAAAAAGCAACGGAAAGAAAGGAAAAACGAGAAAAACCAATGGGCGTAGCTCAGTTGGTATATACTATATAGTATATACCCATGAAACTGTCGAAAAACAGCCCGCCCCCAATTTCAAATCCTGATGCAGTCAGATGAACGGAGCAATTATATATATCGTCAAACAGAATTACCCGGGGCTGGTCGGCTCAATGGTTATATGCTTTATTTATATCTTAACGCCATCACCCTTCTAAAGAAGAGAAAAGAAAAGAAAATAAAGAACACAAAAAAAAAAGGACGCGAGAAAAGAACATTTAACAAACACAAAGACTTGACACTGTTGACAGAGAAAGGTTTAATACTTCCATTTTTTTTTTTTTCTTTCATTCCCTTTTTGAAACACTTACAGATTAGGAGATGGTTGATCAAGTGGAAAAGCTGATAGAGGTCATGGCGGTCGGCGAATCCCGGTTCTTGCGGAACGACCTCATGGTACGCGTCATAGAAGGCATTCCCTGAAAGACAGTCGGCACACGACGTTCAAAATCTGAGCAAGGAAACTCAATAACCCATTTGCGTACAGCAAGTGACATTCAGCCGTCATAGACGGCATTCCCGAGAAGACAGCCGGCTGCAGAGAAGCGCAAAGGGGACGCTGGTCCCGGCGCTGGAGCCTGGACCCGTTTTCCAGGAGCTGAGCGGATCTAATCGTTTTGAAGGAACGTGGAAACGGAATGTCGTCAGTACCAACTGGCCCACCGTAGCTCAATTCCGACCTCCTGGAACTCTTGAAAACCCCACTGGTCCCAATGCGGGACCTGAGTTCGAACTCCACTGGAAGTGGATGGGTGAAATCGCACACACAATTCTGAATTACCCCTACAGTCTTCCCCGGAATACAACGTACGGTCATTATAGCTGAATTTGGTGTATCTTTCAGTCTAAATTCAGTCTAAATTCAGTCTAAATTCAGTCTAAATTCTGAATGACCGTACGTTGTATTCCGGGGAAGACTGCAGGGCCAGTCATGACGTTCGAAAGTACCCCTTTGGCCAGTCAGTTGGATGATAATATCTTGGAGGGGAGGCAGAGCAGGCGTACGTCCTTCGATTCTGGCTTTTTTTTTTTTTTTTTTTTTTTGGAAATTTGGACAATGTCTCTTTTTTTTGTTGTTGCTGAAATTTCATTCTCTATCCAGTTGTTGAAATTTCATTCTCTATCCAGTTGTTGAAATTTCATTCTCTATCCAGAGCACAGAAAAAAAAACTATCCATGCTGGCTCATCGTTCAAACTTCAAAGTTTCCAACCCTCTAATAAGGACCAGGCCACACTGCAGTGGCACTGTTCTGTTGAGGAACTTGGGTCTCAATATTGACTAGATTCACCAGGTTCATCCCTAATTGCATATCTGGCGCCCGGTTAGGGTGAAGAGGCACAAGAATCCCCGGTTACCAATCCTACTCCTTAACCTCAGTACCATCATTCAGTCTCACAGCACGATCAGTACTCCCAGATCTGAAGGGTCGTTGGGCCCGCTTCCCAGCCGCAGCTGTTTTTGTCTGTTCATTATTGATGATGTAAAAGGGACGCTGGACGCGGTTTCCAGCAGGTGCAGCTCCCCACCAATGGAACTGAGCCATCTATCCACCTAGGGGAGTAGAGGGAGTGTCTGCTCTTATCAGCACCCCCTCTACTCCCCAACATAGATGTTTCAAAAAAAAAAATAAAAAAAATCGAAGGATTCCTTTCTCCAATTTTGTAAGAAGGATGTCCTTTATAATTAAAAAAAAAAAAAAAAAAAAAAAA